ACGTGCGTGCGTCCGCGTGTGTGTGTCATGATCAGTGTGCGCGTCTACGTGCGTGCGTGCGTGCGTGTGTACGTGCGTGCGTCCGCGTGTGTGTGTCATGATCAGTGTGCGCGTCTACATGCGTGCGTGCGTGCGTGCTGTACGTGCGTGCGTCCGCGTGTGTGTGTCATGATCAGTGTGCGCGTCTACATGCGTGCGTGCGTGCGTGCGTGCGTGCGTGCGTACGTGCGTCCGCGTGTGTGTGTCATGATCAGTGTGCGCGTCTACATGCGTGCATGCGTGCGTGCGTGCGTGCGTACGTGCGTCCGCGTGTGTGTGTCATGATCAGTGTGCGCGTCTACATGCGTGCGTGCGTGCGTGCGTACGTGCGTGCGTGCGTGCATTAATGCCTAGCGCAATGTGTCGACGTCACACACGGGTGACGACGCGGATGGGATGCGGCTACCTGTGTCGCCCGGCGCGTGACGACACAGGTTACGACACGCAGCTACGCTAGACAGGTATAGTGCACATACAGGTACGCGACACAGGTGAACGAGCTCTCTCAGGTGCGAATGAACGCGCGTGCGGAGTTCCGCTAGTGTCGGCACGGAACTCTGCACGCGCGTCCGGCCTCACTAGCCCGCCCGCAGAACGCACCTGCTGACTGGTGTCCGGCCTCGTAGGTTTGACGACTTATTGACCATGGTTGGGTTTTGGTCACTTGGTGTCAGCATTCCGGGAATTTCGCCCGCTTGTTGACTACTGCTGGCGTTTTGGTCACTTGTTGACCACCGATGGGCCTCGTAGGGTGCCCGCGTTTCACTACTTCTTTATCTCTAATCTATGTCGGCTTCGTGGTGTTGACTACACGTTAATGTCTACCCACGTCGGCAAAAATGTGTTCAGCCCACTCTGTCAGCAGAAATCTCTTCAGAAGAAATCATATAAATTTTCCAGCCCCCCCCCCTTCCTGCTTTGGAAGAGAGAAAAATATGAGGCTGTAGTCCCGTGGCTCCTACGTTTACACTCAGCGGATGGGTGCAGCTAATAAATTCATACGTTTGCTGATGATACTTTATGATCATACGTTGCTTGTATTTATGATAGATACTCTATGCACGAGGGATTTTTTTTCTCAACTGTGGTATTATATAATCCGCGCGCCTGCGAGTAGATTCCTGCAATTTATGATCGATATAATATACAGGTTAGGATACTAGGGGACTAATATAATATGTGCGGGTTATTAATAATACTAATAGAACTAATATGATGCCGTGCAGCCGTAGGTGCTTGCACTGCTGGTTGCATGCGTGTTCGGGCAGCTTGAACAAAGACGTCATCCGGTTACCCGGGTTACGATAGCTGAGTCGTCACGGATCTAGATGGGTAAAACCCGTGCCAGCCAGCCGTATCTTCTAAGAACTCGTTCCCCGGTGTCTCCGGGAGGCAGAATTCGCTCGTGCCTGCTGCTGCTGCTGTTGCTGCTGCTGTTGTTGCTGCTGTTGCTGCTGCTGCTGCTCCTTCTTCTTCTACTTCTGCTGCTGTTCTTGTTTTTGCTACTGCTGCTACTGCTGCTGCTACTGCTTCTTCTTCTTCTTCTTCTACTGCTGCTGCTTCTTCTGCTGCTATTCTTATTTTTGCTACTGCTGCTGCTGCTGCTGCTACTGCCGCTACTATTGTTTACTGCACGCTGCTACATTGCAGACACACGCACACGTCACACACACACGCAAGCCCACACACACAACTACATCCGCTACATCCAGACAGCGGCTGCGCCTGTTATGTGTCTGTGCGCGCGTGCGTGCGTGCAAACACGTGTGTAGCGGCAGTATACCGTCGCGTTAACAAGCGGATGATGAGGCAATATATGTGACGCCGTGTGGCGCGCGTGTGCGTGTCTGCCTGCGCGTGCTGTGCGGTGGTTCCCGGAACCTTCGCTGTTGCTGCTGCCGAGCGCGCGACCGTATAGCTTGTGAAACCGGCTGCCGTTAGTTACATTACCGGCTCAGCAGCGAGCGCATTCGGGGTGTTGGTAACACGAGAGCTTACGCTACATTCGCTACACCGCCACGGTGTCGTCCTGTGCTGTTGAGTGTTGCGGTGTCTCCTGACTCCTCCCTTCGCCGCTAGTTCGTTAGTTTCGGGGTGAAGCTAAGCAGTAGTGAGTGTTGAGCTGCATAAGAAGAGGTTAATTGCGCTACACGACGCCGGTGTTACACATCCCTATGTATTGGTTTTGCAGCCGGGCATTCAGGCTTGTTTCGTTACTACTGCCTCTATAGCGTTGCTAGTAGCGAATCTATTGTGATGAACGTAGTAGTGAACCTACTGTGGTGAACGTAGTAGTGAACCTACTGTGGCAAACCTAGTAGTGAACCTACTTCGAAACGTAGTTTAATGAACATAGTGCAGTGAACGTACTGCGGTGAACGTACTGCGGTGAACCTGCTGCGGTGAACCTACTGCGGTGAACCTAGTGAACCTTGGCTGCGTGTGAGCTGTGCTGTAGCATCTGTCCGCTACATGTACAGACAGAGTGTCGGCGACGCTGGTACTAGTACTACATCCACACCTGTCGTTCCCATGGTGCTAAGCCTAGTGAACATGATGAAGGGAGCGAAGGGAGTCGTGCTGGACGAACTAGCCGACGCTTTCGGGGTAAACATTATAGTCCAAAAATAGTTAAAAATAATCGTAGAGTATAGTAATATTATATAGACTGTGATAGTACAATATAACCATAGCATATAGTAATACTTATAGTATATAGACTGTGATAGTACAATATAATCATAGCGTATAGTATTAGTATAATCAGGAGTCTATCAATATTGATAGACTCCTGGTATAATATATACTGCAATACTATAACAGGGCGTCAAGTTCCTATTTTTTCCTATTTCTGGGCAATTCCTTTTTCTGACAAATATTCCTATTTTTTTCTATTTTGAGGGCCTTTTCATTTTTCTGAATCAGAATTGTATGCTATTCCTTCTCAGAATGCAGAGAATTTACATTTTCAGGTGACCAATTTTCAAAAATTTCCTGGGGAGCGGAACCGCCAGACCGCCACCCGTTACCTTTAGATTAACGTAATATATACTACTTTACTATCATAGATTTTTATTTCATAAGTAAATTTGTTTCTCAGTTGGAATTGTGGGTTATGTGTATCCAGAGGCGGGTCCATGGGGGTCACGGACCCCCTTTTTTACACCCCAAAAAAGGGAAAACATAAAAAATTTGGAATTCTATCTTGCATTCTTAACATTCAAAATTACTGCTCAGATGCTCTCAGATGCACAATTTTAACATCTTTTCTTGGGGAGGTCCCCTGAACAACCCCCACCACAGTGGCAACGTGCCTTGACACGCCGCATAAGCTGCCTTCGAGCACCTTTTTATAAAAGTGCCCTTTATTTCTTATGGACCCCCTGTTTTCAAAAAGCCGCGATCGCCATGTATACATGTACCGTCATACTATTTTTTGAGTAAACTGCCTTCTATCAATTTTACATGTGCATTTCTAAATATTGCATATCCTTGATAATTGCATTATCTCAAAATATTGTTCGCATGTGAACTGTGCACTCCATATTATGCATGAATATTTTAATAAAACATTTTGTTGGTGGATCTTGGATGGCTGTAGGCGGTGTTGCGGGGGCCATCTACGCAACAATATATTCCTATTTTTTCAACATGTATTCTCTCACAAAAATTTCCTTATTTTCCTCCCTATTATTTTCAACGATCTGAAATTCCTATTTTCCTATTTATTGAGGCGCTCACTTGTCACTTCACGGCCCGTGGTTATAATATAATAATAACTCTATATATAGTCATTATGTCACTATAAGACTGCCAATAAGTATAATCATAATCATTGCGTTCCCCCACCTTAATACTTATACTTTAGTATGTAGATATATAGACTGTTAATAGTACAATATGGTCGATAATATGGTCTTCTAATAATAGTTACATAGATGATAGACTGCATACGTATTAATATAATCCATAACAGTATAATCCAGGATGCTGAATAAGTAGCACTAAATCATCTATATATTCACTCCTGCGTATAATTAATTAGTGTTATAGGACTGTTGAACAGTTTATAATATAATCGCTATATGAGCTGTAGTTATTATTAACTCATTTTGCTTAATATATTAGACTGTATTTTGCGCATCATGATCCAATTAGATTTGCTCTGCTTTAGGTTTTTAGGTCGTTTGTATCGCGCGGAGGTTTTCCACCGCGTGTATAAATTGAGCAACAATAGAGTGAGAGCAAGGTTCTTTTCTTCTCGTTATCAATTCCTTTCAAGCAGCTGCTTATTGCTTGTTCGGGAATCGCGTGTTCCGCCATAACTATGTTTGATGGGTATGGAAAACATCTCCGTCACTCGCAGGCAAAATTAATAGTCTCTGTACATGTAGGCCCTACGGCTTACCCCTACATGTGCATGTGGTGAGATTTTATGATGTACAGTAGCTTTTTGTATGCGGAGTTATGAGTTATGAGTTTGTGTAACACAGTTTGACACTGTTTGGTGAGATTGTATTCCATGAAGCAATTGCAACAAGCTTTTTTGTTCTCGCATGCTCTTTAAACTCACAATGGCGCACACAGACACGACACGACCAGCGCACACGGACAACGGCAACGCACAACACACGCGACTACACACACAGCACACACACACATCAACACAACACACAGCCACACACACACACACACGCACAGCACAGAGAGAGAAGAAGAGAGATGAAGAGAGGAGAGAGAGAGATGAGAAGATAGAGAGAGATAGATGAGAGAGAGACGCGCGCACACACACACGCGACGCACGCACTGCATATATATATGTATGTATGTAATATATATATATATTAATATTATATATAATATATATTATATATATATATATATATATATATATATCAGGAGTTAAATAAGACAACTATATAAGCACATTTTTTCGTTAACTCTGATATAGTATAATATATATTGACGATACACGGTTTATCAGCTATAGTCATAACAGCTATGGTTCAGGTATATGTAACCATAGATATAATAATACAGATATATTCTATATCTATGATGTAACGCCAAGTGAAATTCTGCCCGTTGGCATTGGCACGCATACCGAGACGAGATGCCTGTCTCACGTACAATGCTCCCAGGCACGACTGCTCTGCCAAGAATTGTTGTTTTCTTCGTCCGTCGTTGATGTAAGTCGTCATTCCTAAACATTCAAAGTATAGTTCCTTCGTTAACGTTAGACATCGATAGCATTCAGTGATTCTCTGTCTTCGTCGAAGACGAGATGCACGTTCATCAGCGCGAGAGAGAGGCGTCATCAGTGCGAACCGCCACAGTGCTGCTGCTGCTGCGGCTGTTGTTGCGGCTACATCATAAATGGCAGACAAGCATGCGCTAATTACACATGCACCCAGCCGCAAACACGCTGACAAAACACACACATGCACGCACAACGCACGCACGTACGTACGCTACAAACACACACAACACACACACAACACACAACACACACAACACACACACACGCACACACACACACACACACATGCACGTACCGACACGCACGCACACACCACACACACACACGTACGCCTTGCTTTTGCATTCGACAGTGTGAGCGTCACATTCATCATAAGTCGATGAGATGAGATGCGAGTCTAAATGCCAGCTGCCACCGCCGCATGTTTGGCAGACGATCGCGGCGTGCGCCCCTGCGGGACGCCATGCATGAATAGTAATTACGTGTTTAATAATATCTCCTTGATTTGAGCGTACAGCCGAACCAGCATATAAGGTTTCACGCCTGGAAATGCTTTCCCATAGGTGGGCATACTTACGAAAAAATTCCCATAAATCAGCACAAGGTTTTTTTACAAATAATAATGCCATCCTCTGAATACACGTCGCAAGTGACAATATATATGTTATTAACAAAAAAATTCTTCCATAATTTCTCTTGTAAACAAAACTTTCCCAGCGCACACGAGAAATAGCCAATTTACAGCTTGAATCTGCACAAAAAGTAGGCTTTCTTTGAAAATTCCTGGGCCGCCCCAGCAACGCACCTCGGACGAGCCGTTTACACTGTCGGATTCAGAAAAAATTCTAGTTTCTGAAATTAACAATTGCAAACAGTTATACTCTTTTCTAATGAGAAATACAAAATTCTAGCGCATGCAGACACTCAAATACGATCTCATTTTTGCCCTATCCCAGCGCTCATTGGTGGATTTGCCACCGTGGTACCATAAGGGCAACTCAAAAACAAATAGTGGCTGTGGTTGGCTGGTCTTTATGGCCCCGAGGTCTCTCTGCAGCGATTGGCGGGCATTTTGTATATTGTTACCAAACGAGATACGCTACGTGTGTTATCACCCTGTGTTTTTACTATATTGAATATATTCTCTGATGTGGCATTGTCTCTTTTCTGTCCTTCTGTTCGACAGGTGCTCTGTCTTTTCTAAAACTCCTCGTGTTGTAAAAGTTAGGAGGGCGGGGAGTTTGGTGATTGGTGAGGTCGGAGAAAAGGCGCGAAGGAAATATGAGGTTATTACCTATGTTTATATGTAGATAAATTCGTTTCGATGCCAGCTGCCGCCGCAGAATGTGTATAGCGGGAGCGACTCTGACATTTGCGTCAACTGGAAGTAAATTATAGGCCGCAACACCTCCGCAGTGCGCATGCGCGTCTATTCAAAATACTCTTCTATACTTATTTGCGCCTCTATTTCTACATTTTACAGCCATTTAACAGTTTTTATCTTGTAATTTTTGTCGTGCATCTATTGCATTAATTTGTAATAATTGAGAGCGAGCTTAGTAACTAAGGAGGTCATAAGTGAGGGACATCGTTATGTCGTGACGGATGAGGATACGGAAGTCATTACGGAGGTCGTTACGGATGCCCTGAGGTTGGCTCGACGTCGTAAAAAGTGGCGCAAATAGGCCGGAACGTCGGCTAGGACGGGTTCTTGAGGCCACGGTCCTCTATCCGAGTGACGGTCGGTGTGTGCATTTTAAGCCGACGCATACCAGTCAGTAGAAACTTGGTGAAGTCAACGGGGAAACATGTCATTAACAGTCAGGGGAAATGTTAAAAAGAAGGGGAAAACACGTGTTGTTTTAGATTCGGGTAAATGTAAGAAACAGTAAAACATTATATCGTTTTGGAAACGGTGATTAGGGAGAGGGAGGGCATGTGTCGTTTAGATTCGGGCAACGTGTAAAAAAGGCTGAAACTTACTTCATTTTGGAAAGGATGTTAGGGTGATGGAATAAAGGAGAGGGAGGGCATGTGTCGTTTAGATTCGGGCAACGTGTAAAAAAGGCTGAAACTTACTTCATTTTGGAAAGGATGTTAGGGTGATGGAATAAACATGTTGCTTTAAATTCGAGGAAAGTGTAAGAAAAGGGGGAAACATGTATGGTTTTCGGGGAAGATGTTGGAAGAAGGGGGGAACATGTGTCGTTCATATTCGGGGAAAATGTAACAAGAAAGGTAAAAACATACATGGCTTTGGGGAGTATGCTGGGAGAAGGGGGAACATGTGTTGTCCCAATTCATAGAAGATGTTAGAAAAGGAAACATGTAGCGATCAATTTCGAGG